GTGCGGAGGAAGGAGGCGCTTGTTGCACCGGGGGTCGCAGGTAGCTTGGCACCGCCCGGCTTCTGCAGCTCACCTCTGACAGCCAAGCCGCCTGGAGCTAGCTCCCTCCTTCCCGAGCAAGCCCCTCAGCCCCCTCCTCGCAACAGGCAGCTGCGCGTTCGCCTCCCGCTGCTGTGGTGGTGCCCTGTGAGCCAGAGCCCGAAGTGCTGGCAGCAGGAGCCCCAGGAGTGGGATCCCTGGTTCCTGTTCGTATGAGCTTTGATAGGTGACCTAGGGCAAGTCATTTAACCTCTGTGGGCCTCACTTTCCCCATCCATACAATGGACATACTAGCGCTTTCCCTGCTGGGATAAGATAAGACTTAATTCTTGAATGGCTACAAAGTGCCCTGTCTGCCTCAGAAAGTGCAGCCTGTTATGGTTCTTACCCCCACACTGCATTGGGGCATTTGTTATCAGTTGTGACAGAGTACAGCCAGCACGATAGCCCTAGATATGCCAGTGTTAATGAAAACATGGCTTGGATCTAGAGTAATCCATGCTGCTTGCAGTAACCAGCCTCTTCCTTCTGTGCTGTGGGCAGAGAACAGCTTACCTTTGGGGAGAGTGGGTCACAATCACAGTCCTTCTGCTTAAAGTAGCAGATCTCACCCTAGGCACTTGTCTCCACACTAGACTTTTCCCTGAGGGCGTGTCTAGACTACAGGGTTTTGTCCACAGAAGTGGACTTTTGTCGACAAAACTATAGCTGTGTCTACATTACCGCTGAGTTCTGTTGACATAATGTTGATAGAACTCAACAGTTTTGTCGACGGCTGTAAACCTCATTCTACGAGGAATAACACCTTTTGTTGACAGAGTTCTGTCGACAGAAGGCATTATTGCATCTATGCTGTCCTTTGCGTCTACACTGTCATGTCTACAAAGCGGCTTGCTTTGTTGACAAAACTGGACGTAGTCTAGACGCTCTTGGTCAACAAATCTTCTGTCAACAAAAGTCTGTAGTCTAGACATACCCTGAGCTTTCCCACCCTTGTCACTACCAGCAACCTTGCTCCAGTAGTGGCAATAGTGTGAAATGTCTCAAAGGGTCATGTTAGTCCGTAACTTTAAAAACAATGAACAGTCCTGTGGCCATGAGCCCAAATCAGATGTCAGGAATGGTAACACACATAAACCCATAGGGGAACATTTTAACTTCCCTGGATGTTCAATAATGGATTTAATAGTAGCCATCCTTCTACAAGGGAATTTTATCGCACAATTACAGAGGGAGACAGCTGTATAGGAATTCATTTACAAGTCTGACACCATCAGCTTAGGCTTGAATAGATCTTAACTGGTTAACACACTGTATGCCATTGATATTCGCATTTACACATCAAAAGCTATGGATGTGACACATCCAGCCTGACTTAATTAACTTCATTAACACAGGTCCTACAATTGACAGACACTTCTTTTGCAGTTATATATACTTTTGATTCTGTAATTTCCGCTCCAACTCATCTGATGAGGTGGGTTTTACCCACAAAAGCTCATGTCCTAATAAATTTGTTAGTCTCTAAGGTGCCACAGAACTACTCTTGTTTTTAACAGTGTGAAATGTTAGGACAAAAACATCTAGCACTAGAATGGTCTTGAGATTTGGCAGGTACCTTTGTAACCAGCATCCTGGCCTGCCAGCAGCTTTCATAACCCTTTAGCAGTCAGACTGAATAAGCCTCTTCCATTTAACCTTTTTTAAACTGCCAAAGCCCTGCAGTGTCACCTGTGACATTCTCCAGCTTCCTGCTGCCAAACCTCCCTCATTCCCCCCCCCCCCCCCCCCCCCAAACTGGCAGCCCTAGTGACAAGCCAACCAGCCAGAACCCACTCCAGGTCACGCCAATAAATGCTGGCTGAAAAGATTTTCACAGACAGCTGGATTAGTGATAAGCAACTGTCTAGGGACTTTAGAATCAGAGCACAGTCTGATACCAAACCTATAGCATTGCTGCTAGGACAGGGATGGGCAATAATTATTGAAGGGGGCCACTCCAAAATGTTGGTAAGTGCTCAATGGCCACACTTTTCTGTGAAGGAAGTGTGGGGGTCTGGGAGGGAGGTTAGGTTGGGTGTAGAAGGGAGCTCAGGGTAGGGATTGGGATGCAGAAGAGGATGTGGGGGTCTGAGAGGGAATTTTGAGTGAAGGAAGGGGTTGTGATCTGGGACAGGAGATTGGGGTGCAGGAGGGAGTATGGGTGCGGAGACGATTCTGGCCTGAAGGAGGAGTGTAGGGTCTGAGAGGGAGTTGGAACCTGGGGGGTGCTGATGGATTGGGTTATGACCTGGTGCAGGGTCAGGAAGGTGCATGTGAGGATTCTGTCCTGGGGAAGAGGTGCAAGAGAGGTTGCAGAGTGTGGGAGGGAGTAGTAACCTGGATTGTGGCAGTGCACAAGGCATGGGTGGTGATCTGGGCCAGGAACGGGTGCCAGAGGCAGGCTCTGACCGGGCAGCGCATACCTAGGGACCCTACAGGACCCTGAGGAAGGCTCTCTGCCTGCCGCAGCCCCACACATTTCAAAACAGCTGGCTGCTTGCTGTGGCTCTCTTCTGGGGGCGAGGGGAGATGCTTGGCATGTTGCCTTGCCCCTAACACAATTTCTTAGTTCCTATTGGTCAGAAACCAGCCAGTAGAAGCTGAGAAATTGTGCTGGGGGTGGGAGCAGCGCGGAAAGCCTCCCCCCTCCCCTGCATCCAAAGCAGAGAGCCACAGGGATTAACGTAGTGTTAGGTTGCTCTGTGCCTGAGGGTCTCAGCAGGACCATCCGCAGGCTGGATCCAGTGACTTGGCGGGCTGGATGCAACATCTTGCCTACCTCTGTGCTAGGAGGCTATAACAAACTGATGCAAAAATGAAAGGGGAAACAGCTTTTATTAATAACAACCCTGGATTTGGAAGTGTAGCAGAGCAAGCTCTGCCTGGGTTTTTCAGCTGACTGCATAGTGATTGATGGGTGTTATTTTAAACCCTGTACCAACGTGTAGCTTAGCCTGTTCAGGTTACATTATTCAAACACTTTGAAAGAGGAGCTCTAACTGTTGTCAGCGCATCGTGGCGTTATTTCCAGCAGCCTGGGCAACGGTGTCCCACAATTCAACAGCCCATGATATCTCTGGGAGCCGTTAGAGCAGTGGTCACCAACCAATAGATCGGGATCTAGTGGTAGATCTTGGAGCCTCTGACAGGTGATCCTGACTGGTTTGGCCAAGAGGTTATCAAGTGCCGGCACTTCAACGGCCCCTCCCCACTACTGCTATGCCTCTCCTGCCCTTTACCTTGGAGCTGCCTCCCCCGGCCCCTGGGAGCCTCCTGCTTGCTGTGCAGGGCAGCACAGAGAGAAGAGAGGTGCTGATGTCAAGGTGTCCCCTCTCTCACTCTGTATCCTATCTCCACAGAGCAGAGGGGAGGGCACAACAGGACTTGGGATGGAGTTTGCTGGCTGCTTTTGAGAGCAGGGTAGGGCCAGGGCAGGGGTGAGCCTGTTTTAGCCCCACTGCACCACCATCCACGAGCCACCTGAGGTAAGCGGTGCCCAGTCGGAGCCCACATACTGAAACCCTACCCCAGTCACAAACCTTCTCCTTCACTCCAAGCTCCTGCCTTAGCCCCGAGCACCACTGCATCCAAACACCTGCCCAGAGCCTGCACTTAGAATCCCCTCCAGCATCCCAACTACCTGCCCCCAGCTCAGCTCATAGCCCTTCTCGCACTCCAAATCCCTTAATCCAAGACCAGAGCCTGCACCCGAACCCGCTGTCCCTGCCTGGTGAAAGTGAGGAAGGATGGGCGAGGGAGGGAGGATGGAGTGAGCAGGGGCAGAGTCTTAGAGAAGGGGGCGGGAAGGAGGCAGGGTGGGGGTATCTGGGCTTGAGGTAGATCTTGGATTGGAGACCACTGAGTTAGAGCAAAAAGCATGCTGGTTCTAGTGCATCTCTGGGTGTGGATAGCCCACAGCCTACAGGCCCCAGTGAACTGGGGAACAGCATTCCCAATATCTCAGCGGAGCCTGGAGAACCACTGGCCTTGGTGAGATCCTGGACCAACCAGATTCT